AAGGAAGGAAGGAAGGAAGGAAGGAAGGAAGGAAGGAAGGAAGGAGGGAAGGAAGAGAGAAAAGAAAGTAAAGAGAAGAAAAAAAGAAGAGAATGAGCATAGCAGTGTGGAGGTTTGATCTTTACTTCACAGATTTGCCATAGGCCATCAGGAAATCAGGAGCAATGCCTAATCACGTCAATCCTTTTTACTCTAAACAGATCAAGATTGGTTCATAAAAACTAGATTATGTGATATATAAGAGTGTATATAAGTTTATGATAGGCATGTACATACTTAGGCATCTTATTCCCAATGCTTTAAGTAGAAATATATTGTTTAAATATACAACACTAAAAATAATCACATATGAATATATTTGCAAGTATACAAATCAATTAAATAATTGCCAATAAGTGTGCGCTCCCTGTAAAAATCTGTTTCCAGTAAGTAAAAGATCTGTGGGTCCTATTTATTTAAAAAGAACAATTTAGAAATCTATATGAAAAGAATAACTCAAATTCATTAGACCTAACTTAAGCTAAGCAAATAAATGTTTTCTTGCTGAAAGAAGAACTAACTCAACAATTTTATTAAATTATCAGTACGAGTCTCAAAAAAAAAAAAGCCACCTTAAAAAAAGAATATTTTAAAAACACTGTATCTTTGCTTATCATGTTTAGTTAAATCCATGTTATTAGGTTTTTATAAACGAATGCACTTAAACCTTTACTTAATTTTTAAAAATGCCATATTTATGTGTCTGACCAGGTATTACATGAAAATTTTGATTACTTACCTAATGACATTTATTTAATTGATGGTAGCTATTTTCAATAGAAAGCCTTATTTTAGCAAATATATTCATTTAACTGATAAAATCACTTGCGTTTTTGTTTCTAACTTTCAATGAAATTTAAATGTCTTTTTGATAGATAAATAGCTCTTCATGTGGAAATGAAAACAGTAGATTGAAAGTGGAAGTGGTAATACAATGCTATCTTTAATAAATCTTTTTTACTGATAGAAATAAAATACAATATATGTTACCCAGAAAATAAATATCATTTGAAAATGTTCTAATGATGTGTTTTCATCAATAAAATTAGGCACCCAAGAAACTGAAGATATTAAAAATGAACATCAGAAAGTATACTCATATTTCTAGTTAGTTTAGCTAGATAAGAATTTCGATAGTCCCATATGTAACTGGCATGAATTTTTCCATACTATATTTATGGACAAAAAATAAAAATATGCTTGGTATGTTTCAGCTGATTTCATGTGATTTTCTTCTTTTTTAAAGAGCAATCTAAAATGCAAAGTAAATTGTTTTTTCTTTCTTTTTTTGCCTTCCTTTCTTTTTTAAAATACATTTTAAGAATATAGATATTTTGTATATTTTTATTTTTTGATATAAATCAAAGCATTACTTATGAATTCAGAGGAAAAAGTAATTCTAAGATAAAGACAAGAGTTAATTGCAAAGACAAATACCATATAATCTCACCTGTATGTAGGACTAAAAAAAGTGTGGATGATAAATTTCATATCTTGTATTTTATAATGGAAAAATTATTTTCAGTTTCATTGTTCAAATAGCTTACTCAGTAATAAAGTTTTGAAATATTTTAATGAAAATCTAAAAACATTTCTTAATTTTAGTCTTTACATAAAATTATTCAAAACTACCAGAGCAAAGAAAACTTTTGTTTGCAACACACCCAAGAAACCTTTATAGAAATAGTCCTTACAAAGTAGATCCCACATTCTGCATGAGTAGTGTCAGGATTGTGTAGCAGCCTGGAGCCAGGAATGTACTTATGGAAAAAAAAGATTCAACAAGGGACAGAGATGTGAGACAATAAGGCCCTCAGTGGCCCTCTTAAAACTCTATCCTTTTATGTTCACATAGCAGCTTTCCATAAAGAATTTCAGATTTCTATTTCACCTCCATTTAAATGCTCTATTTCTATAAGTAGGGATGTAAATTTGACATCACTCTTGTTAAATGAAGATCAGCACAATGTGTCAGATACAGAGCTTTCTAAAGTCATACATTTAGTCAATAGATGCTGTCAAAGAAACTTAAGGGTTCTTTTCCCTAAACCTTCCTGCCTAATGAATTAATTGAATTCAATAACTTAGTGTATATTCTAAATTATACATTCTTACAGAGGCAACAGGAATGTATAGATAGTTTCTATGATATTTATTCTATAAGATTTGAACATACACCCCCTTTAAAGCACTCCTGGAGTATTATCACTTTTTCCTGGACTGCTGTTCTCCAAGGCAGAACACATATAATTTTTGTTCTACCTCAATAGAAATCTCATGTCTCGAGAATTCAACATTTATCACCAACCTTTAAATAACCATGAATATTAACTCAAATTCCTTTTTAAAAATACTTCAAAATGCATCTTTAGATATGTGAACACATTTAAGTATTTCTGTAAATAAATTTTAATACCCAATTTACTGTATTTCTTTCCAGGTATATTTATTTATACAAGTCTTTTTCTCCCATTTGATGTCTGATCTCAGTCTTTTTCAGATTTTAATTTCATTGCATCTGCTTCTTGCCCAATATTCGCTTAGAACCTCCAGGCGCCTCATCTGAATGTTTACCTTTCTGTTCATGTTTAGACACAGCTGCGGTCTCTTTTTCATCCTTCTCTTTGGGTTTAGATGATGTTTTCTGTACTTCTTTTACTTTTGCAGTCATTTGCTTCACCTTCTCCTGTTTCCCACTTTTCACCTCCTTTTTAGTCTTTTCTTCAGTCTTTTCCTTGGTCTTAGCTTTCTTCTCTTCTGTATAGATTTAAGAAAAGTTGAATTGTTTTTGTTTATTTACCAACAGAGCATTTAATCTTTCATTGGTTTTTAAGAACAATTTTAAAAGAAAGAGAAAAGAAAAAAAATAGAAAAAGAGTGTCCCTGAGATAAATCTTTGACACAGATACTATTATCTGACTTTTATACAGTTTGTAAAGTGCCATGTTAGAGCGCACATACACACCCACAAAGTAGCTTACTTGCAAGTTGGGTTCTTTTTTAATTTTTACATGAAAACAATCATTTTTTAGGTAGTCAGGAAATTAGCATGTCATGAATTAGGCATTTGATATATGCAGGATATACAGGCATGTTTGATGAAAGTCAATGCCCAAACCAAAAAGCCGAATAAAAGAAACCTTTTGAAAGAATAGAATTATTGTGTTCCATAACTGAAATATCTTAAAAATCATTCAAGAAACTAAACCATCAACACAGTATTTTTTTAAAGATAACTATTAGGGATGCAAATATAAAATTACTCACAGTGGTTGTGACTGATAGAAATAAAACAATAAAATCCATTAATGGATGACTCAGAGACATTCAGTCCCCAATGATTTGACTTAAAAGAGACAAAAAAAACAAAAAGAGCAGAAACTGACTATTGGCTCCTGACGATCTTAAATCAGAAATAATAATTCTAATCACTTTTAAAGCCCTTAAATATATTCTAGTAAACAAGAATATAAGCTATAAGTTAGATTACATATAAACATACATATGGATTTTAATATATATATATTTTTCTATACAAACATAGTTTTTATTTGCTATTATATGCATTTGGAGGGAGAGAACTGGAAATGTGAATTAATCAGTCTGAATTTTTCATTATTTAAAAAAGCTATAATAATATAGTATACATTTATAGAAATTATTTATAATAGATACTGTATATTGGACATTATTTACTCTATGGGATCACTCAACATTAGCAGATGCCACAGTAAACCTACTACAATGTTGAACTCTCTCACATTATTTACCAATGTAATGGCTAGCCTTTACTGTCACTTAACTTGAAGAATTTGATGAAAATATTATAATCAAGTTTCTTGATTTTAGTACATAAAGCAATGATTTAAAACTAAGTTAAGGTAATAGTGTGAGATCCAGTGAAAAGTAAAAGAAAGAATGAAAATGATAATGCCTGATGCTTGCAAAACCAGAATCATCTGCAGTACTGCATTCAACTGAATGGACCACCACCTCCCAAAGCACTGTTTCTCAGAAACTTTGCAGGGAGATGTTGATACTGTGTTAGTGGGAGGGGAGATATTCCTAAGATCAAATAAATATGAAAACACTAAGTTAAACCAGATTCTTTAATATGGATTTCTCAAAGCTGAATTGTATTGAGAATCTTCAAGGAGAGAAATTATACTATGTACTGTTTCCAAGCTACTTGACCATAAATAAAATTCACATATAAAAAAATTACCTAATTTCTCCACAAACTTGCAATATCTTTGTGGTTTCTGTGACAATATTCAATTGGGGATTTTATTCTACACTCTTTAAACCATTTCTAAATCTCCTTTGCTGAATTCTACTCTTTCTTACTACAGACTCATTTCTGTGACTGAAGCCATCAGCTCTGTGCAAATGACTTTAAATCAAAATTATTCCAGAACTGCACACCAAATATTTATTACGTTCTGTCTGGAGAGGAAGTTCCACTGAGATAGCCAACAGTACCTCAGATATATATAACTCATATATGTTTGCCTAACAAAATCTTCCACAGAGCCTACCATGGCCTGGACTTGCTAGTTTCTGGAGCTCTAAAGATCAGCAGAATAATATCTCTTACTGAAGAAAGCTTAGTACAGCATTTAAACACATGTGGTTCCATCCTATCTCTCCTCTCACAGCATCTTTCTAAAAATTTCTTCCTCCACTAAACTAGTTTTTTAAAAATATATATATATTGCATGTATTTTCCACATGTCAAACATTGCCAGGTATCACTCTCTATATTTTTCATGTTTTCCACATATATAAATTTTTTGTCTGTTCAATTTATATGCAACTAATGACTCTGTCATTGGAATTAACCATTTGTTCACCTGAGCTTCCATTTGTCTCAACTTTTATTAAAGTATATATGTTATTCCTTGTAATATATCTTTTATTACAGATGGTTGATCACATATGTGTCTTCTCTACGAACTGAAAGCAATTTGAGAATAGAAATCTATATTCATTTTTGCAGCATCATAATGTCTAACACAGTGCTTTTTTCAGAGGAAACGCAGAACAAATGTTTACTAAATTAGCAATTTTGATCCAGGAGTGAAAACAGTAAATATTTTAATATATTCTGATCATGTATATAATATAGTGTTATAGATTGCATATGTAAATATGTGTTGAGAAATAAACTTGACAAAACTTGGAATATTTGCCAACTAGTTTTTTGTTTATACCTTTTTTGTGTGTGAAATTCTTAATTTAGTTACCCTAAATGACACCTTATCCATTCCTTGTCAGTAGCAGTCGATTTAACTTTAGATTGATACTGTAAAATTAAAGATATGAGAAATTCAGATCTACTTTTAATGCCATTATAATTTGTACAGGAACAAAGATCATTTTCTTAAAGACAAGATCACATCTAAAACAAACTCATTTTTATCAATGGTTTTGAGTATAAAAGTAACAAAATATTCCCTACCAATTTTAGACATTTGTCAGTGATCTTTCTCTTTGAAATAAATAACTTTACCTTACATTAAAAACAAAAATGAGTCTACAATCATGCCACCCTGAACAAGCCTGATCCCGTCTGATGGAAGCTAAGTAGTGTCAGGCCTGGTTAGTATTTGGATGGGAGACCACCTAGGAAGACCAGGTGCTGTAGGCATAAATAATAATAATAAAAAAGTTATTTTAATGAGAGTTATGTGTTAGTGCAGATGAGAACTCAACAATGATATGAACAATAACATGAAACTAAAGCAACACCCAATGTCTATTTATTTCTGTCAAAATGAGTTAGTGTTCTTAAGTTACTTGCCAAAATAATCTTCTTGATTTTTCTCAAAAATAATTTAAGTGATATTTAGACTTAGGAGTTCATTAAGGAACAAAAAAGCAAAAAGGAAGACATTTAATTCATGACTTTAGCAAATGTAAAACAGAATGGTCTAATCAAAAGAATGATATCAGCAAATTTGATCTAATTTTGCAATTAACATTACCCATAAGTGACTGTACCAGAATCGAAATGTTGTTTGCCAAAGCAGGGAAACCACATTACTCAATAAACATAATAACATACTGTATATTTTTGGTGTTAAGACATAACAAATTTCAACTCTCATTCATTAAGGAACTGCCAACTGCTTGACTTCTCTGTGCTTTAGTTTCCCTGCATTAAAAACATAATACTACTGTAACTGTCTCTTCCTTTATGGAAGCTGTGAAAGTAAGTAAAATAATGTGAGCAAAAGAATTTTGTTTTTGGAAAAAAATACATAGAAATGTTTAATATTGATATAAATTATTAATATTCACATACACGACATTCCTAGAACTCTTTGGAGTTACCCTAGAACTTACACACAGTTTGATGTATAGCAGGAATTACTATATTACACATGAGTTTGATGTATAGCAGGAATTACTATTTTACAAATGAGAGCTCTAGGAATCAAAAAGCCATTTGCCAAAGGTGGTGCAACTAATGAGTCAAGAGTAAAAGCAATAGAACCATTATGCTTGACCCTTTTCCCCATTAAACTAATTCGTGTGATATTATTAATAAACTCTGAGGATGATACCAAAAATATATTTTACGACACATGAAGGGAGATATAAATATATGCAGATGAGTGAAAACAGTAGAAAGATTTCTGAAAGTGATCAAAACAGTAAGCGACCTTACTTCATCAAACTCACAGGTAACTGAATGTTGTTATTTCTGGGTCTGTTAGACAGCCTGGCCCAAACTTGGCTTACATCATGCTTTTTTATTTCTATCATTCTCTTTTTCTTCTTTTTCCCTGTCTTTGTTATTTTTAATGAAACAGGCTAGTTTTCACAGTGGAAATGAGATCCTACACATGAGGCCCATTTTTCCCCAGTAGGAAGTCCTGAGATGGTTCAGCCTGTTGCTCTTGGCCAGGCTGTGCTTGAAACAGAGCAAGGAACATATTGTATTCCATGAGAGTGCCTCTGGGAATCAAAGGTCTGCAGATAGTGATTCTGCTTTAACTCTGATCAAACCTTACAAATATGATAGGTTATCTTTGTTTCTAATTTAAATGTTACATTCTATAATGTGACATTTTAATCTTAATCTGTTTTCTCCAAAATTGCCCATTATACAAAGAGTATTTCCTATGCATTTCTCACATTTCCAACAATGTGTGTGTATATATATACATATATATATAAAATAAAAATAAAAATTATATATCAGTATGTGTATATATATACACATGCATATATACACATACATTTACATGTATACACATATACACATACATGTTTGTTTATATCTATGATCCCATAAGAATATAAGTATATAAATAAAGTACTTGTGATTTATGGCAGGCCAGGGTGATTTAAGATGGCCCCAATGATCCCCACCTCCTGGTATTCATATTTTCTCCATTTGAAAACAAACTGGCTTAGAAATTTGCTGCTAACCAATAATATGTAACTTCAATGACCAGTCTACATAAGATTGTTATTTCTCTCTTACTAGCTGATTTTTCTCTCTTGCTAGGTATGACAAAGCTAACTATCATATTAGTGAGATCCATGTGGCAAAGAACTGAAAAAGGTCTCTTGATAACAACCAGAAAGAGGCGAGGCCCTCAGTCAACAGGCCTTGAAGAACTGAATTTTGCCAATGATTAAGTAAATGAAGTAGGAAATGATCCTTCCCCAGTTAAGCCTTAAGTTGGGACTGCAGTCCTGTCTAATATATTGACTGCAGTCTTGTGTAACATTGTGAAGCAGAGGGCTGATCTAAGCCATACCCAGATTCTTGGCCCATAGAAACTGTGAGATAATATAGGTGTGTTGACTTTAGCTTAAAAATTCGTGCTAATTTTTTACATAACAATAAATAATACAATATTAACTAAATATTTGTTGAAATAATTTATTCATTTTTGGAAAGAATACTTGATTTATACTTAGTTCACTTAGGAGTTTTGTCTTAATGCAATTACATACTAGTTATATGATCTCGCTAAATTTTCTCTCCTTGGAGGTCAGTTTCTTCATCTGTTAAGTTAGGTAATTAACTGGGATGATCCCTTCTAACATCCCTACTAGTTTTAAGGCTATATATATATATATATATATACATACACACACACAGTAGTTCATATGTTTATCTAATAATATGTATATCTAATTATATATGTATGTAATTATATATAATTTCATATATATAAATTTATGTAAATTTATTTTTATTCAAATTTGTCAAATAGAAAAGAACTAAATAGAATAAAAAACTTATTTAGTTTATAAATTTCATCTTGAGACTAAATTAATGCTACCTTTTAGAAAACAAAGTCTTAATTTACAATTCATTCATCTTAACTTCAATAAAATGATATTTTGTTATCTCACTGAAAAATTTAGTAAAAGATACATCTGCCTCAAATATTTAATTATTTTACATTGTATAAACACATTGAAATTTGAAAATAGATTCCAATTTTTATCTAAATGATTAGTCCCTTGAAAATACTAGATTGAAAATTCTAAAATATACTGATCTCATAAACCTATATTTAAAATATGAGGAAATTTAAATTTAGTAGTTAAGATTGAACTATCAATTAGAATCCATATCTTTCTAACATCAAACAATTGGTAGACAAAATTAGAACAATACAAGTTGATTCACATAACCCTCCAAAATACAAAACATTACATTGATATTCAAATTGATTTACTATTTTTTTTTGGTGTATTATTAAGACACTTTAGGTCTTTGATGGCTTAAAATATTGATCGAGGTGTATGCATTATCTTTTCTTCTTGAAGAAAAAAATAAATCCTGAATTGAGTCTTCCAAAATCAAACTCAAGGTGTAACACTGGTCAAAAGTTGTAAACTAGAAATGTTGTGATAGCTTCCTATTGCTGTAGCAACAAATTACCAAAAGCTCAGCTTCTTAAAACAGCATTCATTTAATGTCTCCTAGTTTCCACAGTTCAAAAGTCTTGGCATGATGTGACTCAACCACATTCTCTATATAGGGTTGACAAGGCTAAAACCAGGACGTCAACAGGGCTGCATTTCCTACTACAAGCTCTGATGAACAGTGGGCTTCCACACGTATTCAAAGCGTTAGCAAAATTTTTCTCATACTTTCCATGTGCCCTCCTCAATTTTCAAGCCAGCAATGGGGGGAAATTTCTCCTCACACTTTTTCGTCACATTTCTATGCATTTAAAGTTTCATGAGATTATACGGAGCCCACCTGGATGATCCAGAATAATCTCTGTAATTTAGATTAATCTTAACTACTTCTGCAAACTTTTTTGGTATGTGATGTAACAGCCACTGGGATGACACCAAGGGATGAAAGTCATGGGGGACAAAACTCTGCCTACCACATATGAAAAAGCCCTTCATTTTCCTCTCAAATTTTGAGGTGCTCTATTATTTTAAGTATTCAGTTTTATTATTCTTTGGATATTAAATTTTAATTGTAAAGCCAAATTAACTTCTTACATAAAAGAAATACTAAATGCTTATAATCATCTAGCTATTACCAAAAATGTAAATTTGAACAGAAAAAGAATTTACTTATGAAAATAATAAAGAGAAAAGTTACCTTTTGCCACTGACTTTGTTTCTGTTTTTTCTTTTTTCTCCATTTTTTCCTTGTGAGTTGCTTAAACAGAAAATTTTATATTAGCACATCCTATTAATAGATTCCAAGACAAAGCTTTCTCTTTATCTCAGGTTTATAGCCACAAAAATCATGAACTATTTTGAAGATTGATGGCATTAATGAGCCTAATTCAAGAATAAAGATTTACCAATATAATAATAACTGAATAGAGTCCAATTTTAAAGACTTGACATTGAGACTTAGAAAGCATTTTGAAAGCTAATCTCACCCTTCTTTTTAAAGTCATTATTCCAGATAGAATGATATGTGTTTTCAAAAAAGACAAATTGAGGGAAAACAATTTTATAAGAATTTGTTGAAAGATATATCATTTTATCAGAAAGAAACTCTCTCTAGGATTAATAAAAAGAAACAATTAAATCATGACTAGAGCTTTGATTAAACACAATATTTCTTATCAAAGACACAATTGTATAGTGGGTCTCACTATATGTGATTGTCTTATGTATTGACAAAATGCTTAGCCTCTCTGATCTCTGCTTACTAAATGCCCTACATGCCAGCGATATTTTGACAACCAGTTTATTTTTTGATAGTTTCCCAAATCAGCATATATTTTTCAACATTTATATGCTATTTCTTAAAGAAAAAGAATGAAAATAAAAAAATTATAGAAAATTAAATAATATCAATTTAATTAAATATTTGGGTAAAGAAAAGAACCAAATTCTTAGACTAAAAAGTTGGAGTCCCAATTCTTTCCATTTCTCCAAGAATAGAATAATAATGTCTATAAGCTCTACTTATATTATAAAAAGAGAGAAATATCCTTAAAATATGTGTTTAAAAACTGTTCTTTTAAAATGCAGTCTATGATATTTGCAAACCATACCTCCAATAAGGGGCTAATACCTAAAATATATAAAGAACTTATACAACTCAACAATAAAAAAAACAAACAATCCAATTAAAAAATGGACAGAGGAACTGAACAGATACTTTTCCCAAGAAGGCATACAAATAATCAACAGATATATGAAAAGATGCTCAACTTCACTAGATATAAGGGAAATGCAAATCAAAACCACAACAAGATACCACCTCATACCTGTTAGAATGTCTATTATCAACAAGACAGGAAAATAAGTGTTGAAGAGGATATAGAGGAAAAGGAAGCCTCAAATTGCTGTTGGGAATGTAAATTGGTACAGTCACTATGGAATACAGTACGGAGGTTTCTCGAAAAATTAAGAATAGAACTACCATATGACCCAGTAATTCCTCTGCTGGGTATCTACCTAAAATATTTGAAAACATTTATTCTTAAAGATATATGTACCTCTGTGTTCATTGCAGTATTATTCATGGTAGCCAAAATATGGAAACAATCCAAGTGTCCTTCGATGGATGATTGGATAAAGAAGATGTGATATAAAAACAAACAAACAAACTCACTGACACAGACAACAGTATGGTGGCTACCAGAGATAGAAGGAGGATGAGTGGAGGTTAAAGAGGGTAAAGGGGATCAAATATATGGTGATGGAAGGAAACTAGACTTTGGGTTGTGAGCACACAATGCAGTATACAGATGTTATATTATAGAAATGTACATTTGAAATTCATATAGTCTTGTTAAGCAATGTTATTTAATAAATTTAATAAAACATAAATCAAGTGAGATAATTCATGTAATATAGTAAAAAAATATATACAGTCTATAAATGGTTTCCCCTAAATCTTGCAGAGATGATGCAAGCCTCATAGACTCAAAATGAAAGGCTGGAAAATGATATTTCAAGCAAATGGCATTCAGATAAAAGTAGAAGTAGTAGTACTAATATTGGACAAAATAGACTTCAAAATAAAAAAGGTAAAGAAAGATACTGAGGGACACTTCATAATGATAAAGAGAATCATGCACCAAGAAGACATAACACATATTAATATCTATACCCTCAATTAGGGAGCCCCGATTAGTAAATGTAAAGCAAGTACTAAGAGAACTAAAGGGAGAAACAGACCAAAACACTATTACATTAGGGGACCTAAATACCCCACAGATCATCTAAACAGAAAATCAATAAGGACATAACATCCTTAAATGACATATTAGACCAACTCAACATAATTGGCATTTTCAGAGCCTTCCATCCCAAAACAGCTGCTTATACATTCTTCTCTAGTGCACATAGAACATTCTCAAGAATTGAATACATACTGGGACATAGAAATAGCCTCAACAAATATAATAGGATTGAAATCATACCAACCATGTTCTCTGATCATAATGCCTTGAAACTAGAGATCAACTGCAGAAAGAAATCAGGAAGAACCACAAATACATGGAGATTAAACAACATGCTACTGAACAATAACTAGTTCAGAGCAGAAATAAAAAAAGAGATCAAGAAATACATAGAAACAAATTATAATGATAGTACAACATATCAGAATTTGGGACACGGCAAAAGCAGTCATAAAAGGAAAGTTCATATCATTACAGATCTACCTCCAAAAACAAGAACGAGCTCAAATAGACAACCTAAAGCTTCATCTTAAAAAAACTAGAAAAGGAAGAACAAATAAGACCTAGAGTTAGCGGAAGGAAAGAAATTATCAAAATTAAAGCAGAACTAAATGAAATTGAAAACAACAACAACAACAAAAAAAATAAAAAAATAAAAAAATAAATGTAACCAAGAGCTGGTTCTTTGAGAAATTTAATAAAATTGACAAACCTCTGGCTAGACTCACTAAAGAAAAAAGAGAAAGGACACAAACAAAATCAGGGATGAAAGAGGGGAAATTATGGCTGACATCACAGAAATACAAAGGATCATGCAAGAATACTACGAAAAAGTATATAACAGCAAATTTAATAACCTAGAAGAAATTGACCAGTACTTAGAAAAATACGACCTTCCTAGACTGAATCAAAAAGATCTGGCAAATCTAAATTGAATGATCAGCAGTATGGAAGTTGAAACAATCATCAAAAACCTACCAAAAAGTAAAAGTCCAGGACCAGATGGCTTCACCAGTGAATTCTACCAAACATTCAAAGAAGATTTAATACGTATTCTCCTCAAACTTTTCCAAAAAAATCAAAGAGAAGGCAATACTTCTCAACTCATTTTATGAGGTCAGTATTACTCTGATACCAAAACCTGGTAAAGATAACACAAAAAAAGAAAACTACAGACCAATATCTCTCATGAACACAGATGCAAAAATTCTAAATAAGATGCTAACGAACCAAATACAGCAACATTTTAAAAAAATTATACACCATGATCACTTGGGCTTCATCCCAGAGACACAGGGATGGTTCAACATATGCAAATCGATTCTAGTGATACACTACATAAACAAATTTAAAAAATAAGAATAATATGATCATATCAGTAGACGCAGAAAAAGCCTTTGACAAGATACAGCACCAATTTATGATCAAAACACTTAACAAAATCAGTAGAGAAGGAAAGTACCTTAACATAATAAAGTCCATATATGACAAACCCTCAGCCAACATTATACTTAATGATGAAAAACAAAAAACCTTTCTTCTAAGATCAGGAACAAGGCAAGGCTGTCCAGTATCACCACTGCTATTCAGTATAACATTGAAGGACCTAGTGAGTGCAATTCGATAAGAAAAAGATATAAAAGGCACCCAAATAAGAAATGAAGAAGTAAAACTGTCATTTTTTGTGGATGACATGATTCTCTATATAGAAAACCCTAAAGACTCCGTAAGAACACTATTAGAAACAATAAGCAAATACAGTAAAGTCTCTGGATACAAAATCAACGCTCAAAAATCCATAGCATTCCTATACTCTAATAATGAAGTGTCAGAAAAAGAAGTGGAAAAAATAATTTCTTTTGGAATTGGAACAAAAAGAATAAAATACCTAAGAATAAATCTAACGAAACATATGAAGGACCTACATAATGAAAACTACAAGACCCTATTAAAAGAAATCAAAAAAGATACAAACAAATGGAAAGCTATTCCATGTTCTTGGATTGGAAGAATCAGTATAGTTAAAATGACCATATTACCTAAAGCATTATACAGATTTAATGCAATCTCCATCAAAATGCCATTGGCATTTTTAAAAGAAATGGAACAAAAAATCATCAGATTTGTATGGAAGCACAAAAGATCCCAAATTGCTAAAGCCATCCTAAGAAAAAAGAACGAGGCTGGAGGTACCACTCTGCCCGACTTCAAATTATACTACAAAGCGATAGTAATCAAAACGGCATAGTATTGGCGGCAAAACAGACACATAGACAAGTGGAACAGAATCGAAAGTCCAGAAGTAAACCCATATTCATATGG